GAAAGTAGAAATGATGACCTCCTCGGCATACTACTAGACTCCAATTATAAAGAAATCGAGCAACACGGGAACACCAAATTTGGACTTAGTATTGACGATGTCATTGAAGAGTGTAAGCTTTTCTACTTTGCAGGGCAAGAGACTACTGCAAATTTGCTTGTTTGGACTATGATTTTGTTAGGCCAACACCAAAATTGGCAAGAACAAGCCAGAGACGAAGTCTTAAAGGTCTTTGGGAAGAGAAAACCAGATATTGACGGGTTAAGTCAACTGAAAATCGTAAGTTTTCCCATTCTAAAATTTTCCAAAATAAATTTGTGAACTCATTTTCCGTTTGTTTATATTTTAATTTATTGGTTTGCAGATTAACATGATATTCCTCGAGGTTCTTAGGTTATATCCTCCGGTAGTCGCACTATCACGGATGATTCACAAAGAAACAAAACTAGGAAACTTAATTTTACCGGCCAAAACAATCATCCAGATGCACACGATGCTTTCACATTATGACCACGAAATCTGGGGTGACGATGTGAAGGAGTTTAATCCCGAAAGATTTTCACAAGGCCTGGTTAAGGCAACCAAAGGACAAACCTCATACATCCCCTTTGGAGGGGGTCCACGTATATGCATTGGACAAAATTTTGCGATGCTGGAAGCAAAAATGGCACTGGCTATGATTTTACTACACTTCTCGTTTGAACTCTCTTCGTCATATTCACATGCTCCACGTACCATCGTCACCCTTCAACCTCAATTTGGCGCTCATTTAATTTTGTGCAAAATTTAGAAATTGGTAAGATTATTGTTAACGAGTTAAAAGCATGCTACACTGCTTGTTGTGACGGAACAATTTCAACATATTTGTATGGTTGTTGAATCTTCTGCAGTTTAATGTATCTACAACATAAATTTTCTATATAATAATTTAGTCAGAATTATGTGATGATGCAATTAGTTTGAAAATACTAATCACATCCTCTAAATGGTAATTCTGTAAAAGGTCATTTTGACATCATTATATTGAATTTTACCATATATTTGGTTTAAAAATACCCAATTTGCTCGGGTAAAGTCATAATTTTTACACGCAAATAGAACAATTTATTGTGTTCAAACGTGTTATTCTTAACGAAAGGTATGACAATTTTCTTGTATTTGTATTTATATCATTTGTCCATTTTGTTCCAGTTGTAAAGTTGGTTGTGACATCTTATAAAACCTGTGGTTGATATATAAAACGAAGAATAAGGTATGAAGGTTCAAAATGTCTATTAACATTTTGTCTTGTATACTTGTTTTGCTGGTTTTATAATAAAATATCTTATAATGTTAAGCATAAAGACAATAATTTATAATTATACGCAAACAATAATACTATATCTACATAGGGTTGAGTTCACGTGAGACAAACCTATTTTCGTGAGACCCGTGAGACACTTTTTTACAATTGAAGCTCCACAAAAAAACACTGTAAAGGTAAAAAAAAATCGAACATTCACAACAAAAACATTCTGAAGGTTACCTTCACAACGTTTTGCTGTAAAGTTTCAAGTGTAAAAAAAGTGGTCTCACGAAAATAGATCGGTCTCACGTGATCCTAAGTCTCTATCTCTCTCTCTCTCTCTCTCTCTATATATATATATATATATATATATATATATATACTAGTTGTCTACCCGCGCAATGCAGCGGGATGTAAAAAGTTCATTAACGGGCCGTTTATCAATCACTTATCCGGTAAGCACTTACCGGTAAAATGTAACAATATCGTTTATTTACCGGGTAAGATTCTAGTACACCAAAACAGTATCGTATGCAACAATTTACCCGGTAAGCGCTTACCGTTGTAAGAGTCATCACCCTCACTAAACCGGATAAGACTATTAGTCATTGTCTCACTCTTACCGGATAAGATTTTTTGTTCTTACCATGTTCATCCGGTAAAATAATGTGACTTTGTGTTCACTTATCCGAGTAAACATTTGGTAAACTGTCCCTAAGATTTATTTAATTTTAAGATATCAAATTCCTTCAAGATGTAATAAACAATACTACATTTGTACATAAATTAGATTCAAATATACATCTCATCCAAAATGTTGGTTTTAGTAGTTTTTACAATTATTCAAAAAAAAAAAAACAGATTTCTTATATAAGATGTGTATATAAACAAATCTTTTTGCTATTGTAAATATGATTGCAATGAATAAGATTCAGAATGACAACATAACTCTCTACAACAATAAATCTTCCCATCAATCTTCTTGCTGTGGTTCATAGTTCTTAGTACCCTTGTAAACTTCAAACGGATCTGCAAAAGTTTACATATTAGAAACATGATGTTCCATGCTCATCCTTCACATGGACAATGGACTCCACTTATATGGTCTTCCTCATGTGCCTGCTTACTGCGGAATCTGTATGAAAGTTTCCCCTAACCAAATATGAACCAGTACATCAATGGAACACAAATTGTTGCCATTAACTTAAGAAAATAAATCGAATACGAACAACCGATAAAGGGTGTTTACTTCTCCAAAAAAAGCACATTAAAAAGCATGATCATTAATACAWCCAACATAGTAAAAGGTAGACCCAAAAATGCGCATGTGAACTACACTTTGGTGGAGAATTGAGTCATCATCAAGAAGAAACCAATGCCCCAAACTAAAACTGAAACACAACAAAAAACATAAAGCGGTGGCCCCTGGGATCACATGGCATCCTTCCACATGATCCTATCTAAGGTCAACTCCTTTTTMACATTTCAAACTTATTCAGAAAATTTCTTTTGCTTCAATCAGAATTAAACAAATCCAAAAATCAAAGAAAAAGTAATATTAGTTCAATAAATTCATAGTGGTTGGTGAGGAAAGCAAACACATTAGTCATACAAGTAACCCACATACATGTGGTAATTTACCATTTCAAAGAACTTTATGTTATTGAGTCAACAGGACAGTTGTTCCATTTCTTCAATATATACAAAAAGGTAAATTCCTGAGATCAGCTCCAAATATACAGAAGGCTCTATTGGTTGATGATGTGCAATATTGAACATAAAGTGTTAGCCTAACAGCACGGTCATGATGAAGAAATAGCAGGAAATTGCATGGCCATGTACTGATGTAAAATAGCAGTAAGGTTTATGCGAGTTCATTGTACACCACAGAAGGGCAGAAGTGTAATTTGCAGAACAATATKCACATATGGGCTTTTACACAGATTGAGGGTGAAAACACACACAGACAGAGAGTGGATACMCAGGGAGGATTTGAGTATTGTACAGACCTGGAGTATACAGGCACAAAGATACACAAAAAATTGAGGTCCACACTCTGACATCAAAAGGTTGTATCTTATGTATAAAGAAGTTGTACATTTTARTGGGTTTAAGACTTTAAGCATCAAAATGTTGTATCTTATGCATCAAAACTTGTCTTTAAGACTTTTACCAAATCTCATTTATAATGTAATAATATAGATTTTATAAATAGAAAAAGCTACTACTGCATTCTACAAACTTAATGGACCAAACCAACAGTGGACAAATTCTTTTTTTTTTTTTTTTGTAAACAAACCAAGAACTCTTTTTTAATGAAGAGCACAATTATGTGGGTGAAGAACTCTTTTGGAGGCCTATTATAACACACATACCCCTTCTGATCTGTGCCCAAAAGAACCCTTGAAAGTTGCAAAATTCATCACACATATGCCTCATAGGGCGCTTCATCCATGTGAGACGTAGCCTGAAAAGCAGTTCTGGACATGCCTCAAGGCATACACTTCTACTCTTATTTAAAACCATGGATAGAAGGTTAGGAGTCCTTTAGAGTGGCTGCAGATGGGATGGTGTTTTAGCCTAATTATGACTTTAACAACACCAATGCTAGTGATATGTTTTTATTCGGTGTTCTTAGTGTTTATCTGTAGAGCATGATAGACTTGGAACAATACTCGATGTTAAGCTTTACTATGACTTGAGTTCATAATGTCCAAGTCTTGGTTAGTGTTGGAGCATGAGTTTGAGGTTGAGATTTTGCATTGGACTCCATACTTCAAGATTTTGAGCCTGCAGGCCATGTACACATCCCAAGTTAAAATTGTCAAAGATGATGCTATCACAGAGACTCAAGAAAGTAGTTCCTAGCTGACTTAATATTGATTTCTACAGAAAATAGATAAGCTTCTTTGATGGAGGTTTGAGAAGAAAGCAGCAAGCTTGGTGAGACGAAAATTTGATTTCTTGAACCAGTAAAATCTTGATCAAAAAAACCCAAACACAAAACCTAAAATCAAAACTCAAACAGTTCATACCTGACAGCGAAGCCGATTGGAAACGACGAAGGCGATTGTGAAGCGATTGAGGTGGGAAGGATTCGGCGATGGACGACTCTTAAAGGGGACATCTTGGGGAGTGAAGCGTCGTCTCGGGAGCTGATAAGGGAGGAGTGTTCTTGGGGGAGGAGAGCCTTGTAAATCGAAGAGACATATTGGGCGAAGGGAAGGGAGGCGTGTAAAGGAGGATTAAGGGTATTTTCGGTATTTCAAAAGTTAAGACTTTAAGACTTTGATCAAATTTGTTTAATAAGGTAGTATAAATATAGAAGGATTCAAACGAGAACTCCTGTGATTTACGATAACATGAGAACAACCTACTAACCAAGTAATGTTAAACAAAATTTAAATTTAAAATAATATTAAAAACAATTTGAGAGGCGGAAGGGTAATCTTGGAAATCAAATAATAAAATTTAAAAAACACGATCAAAGAAAATGCTCAGATCATATGGGAATTGATAACACCCACGAGCTACTGTGTTATCAATTATGTAGTAAGAAGTCGAACATCAAGAATATAGAGGAAGAAATCGAACAACAACTGAGGAAGAAACCAACAACGAGAAGATTGTGGGAGAAGGTTGCAGTGACAATTCAATTAGAGGTGACAAAAAATGACTCAACCCGCTAACCTAACCCCAACCCAACCTAGAATTAGCAGGTTGGGTTGAGATTTTCAACTCATTTAAATAAATGGGTCAACCCGTCTAACACATTTAAATAAATGGATTGGGTTGAATTTTTCGACATGTTTTCAACTCATTTACAATTTGTTTTCAACTTGTTTCCAACCTTTTTAAAATATTATATAATTTTATTTTATTCTTAATATTATATCTAGTATTCTAATTTTTTATTTTGTTTTATTCTTAATTAAAAATTCTACCGTCGTAAGATGAAAGTCCAAATTCCAATCGTCTCCATAACTTTTAATCATCATGAAACCCTAAAAAAACCCTTTAGTCCATTACTTCATTATCGCCTCCAAAGTCCAATCCAACTCTTCAAGTCTGTTGTTCGTCTCTCGTCCTATCGATCTCTCGATCTAGACTCTCTCTTCGTGCAACGTTTTTCTCCCTCTTGGATCTCTCTCCATCCAGCATTTGTCTAATTGTCTCCCTCTCGGTTTTCCTTTTGTCCAGGCGTCCAACACTAGTGACTCAACAGGCCCTCCGAGTCTCTGTGGAGCAATCATGACAGAGAAGATAGCAGATCAAGAGAAAAGTAATACCGACAGTGAACTTGGGGTTGGTGAAAATGGAAATCGAGTTACTTAATTTTTCAATTTATTTTAAACAATATATTTGTTGTGGTTGTGTTTTATTCAAACTTTGAACAATTAATTTGTATTTATGGTTATGTTGTGTTTTATTTCTATCTATCTATTATAATATTATATATACAGTTTGATGGGTCCATCATCCATGACTCATTTAACAACCGAATACACCCTTCTTGTAGGTGTATATGTTTTGTATTCGTTTAATTCTTTTATTTTCTAATATATAATATTTATATACGATGAATACTTTACGTAGACTCCTAACCCTTCATGAGGTTTGAATACTTTGCTTTCAAGAAAATTGGGTTATACGAATAACCA